GGCTGGAGAAAACAGATAAGAGGTCCATGAGTCCATCTGCTCTTTTTGCTTTATATTTTAAGTCAGGGCATAACATGTAAAGTCCTTTGCTACTTACCAGTACAGGCCATAGTATGCTCACCAGGGGTGAATTTCAACTCACCATGGCTAAATTTTCAGTTGCCAATGGCTAGAGGCAAGTTAAAATTTGAAGCCCCACTTTTGCCACTAAATCTCACTGTGATTTAGTTTTGTGAGAATAATACTGGCTGAACTATGATAATACACCCACCAAGAAGGTACTCCAATAGACAGGAACAACAAAAATGCTTTTAGATAGTTACATAGATGGAAAAGAAAAACCTGGATCCTTATACATCATAAAATAAAAAGTAAATCTCTGGAGCTTTAGAGAATTACAGAAAACGAGTAAGAAAAGTTGTAATTTTTTGTATTTGATTGTTCTTAATATTTGATCCCGAGGAACTCCCTCAAGCAACATGCAGGACCTGCATTGTTTATTCATGTTTAAATAAATTCCTTTTTTTTATTACCATCCTGCTGGAGTTCCTTGCGTCCATCAAATTTACCAAGTCTGAAAAGATAAGTGTAGTGGAGACATCAGGAGGGAGATTAGCCCCCCAAACATCAGTGGAGGCACCTGCAGTGTGCATTTATACCTTAAAATGTTATGAGTACAATTATATTTTGGCGCTACTAGAATATATGAACTGTATTACATTATATTATGTCCATTTGTATTTTCAGAATACAGTTAATTACCTGTATATATTTGATGTAGTGTTGTTTTAAGGGAAACCTGCTGGGAGGTTCTTTTCTTGGGGGGGGGGCTGACATTTATCACCCCACACATCATTTAAGTATTTTATATATATCTAGTTGTGAACTAACATGATAGTTCTAGAGAAAATGGTAGGGAAATTATCAGAAATTGGAAAATCAAGACTTCACAAGAACCTACATTAGAAGTGAAAACGAAGCAAGTTTAAATGTGTTTCGGGAAACGGAGTACAATAACTGTGTAAAATAGAGAAATTGAGTTTTGCAGTGCTAAACAGCTATATAAAGTTTATTACCATCCACAAAGTGTTTATTCAAATCTGGCTAACGCAAAGTTAAATCAGAGCCTCCAGCCATAAACTTGAGATGAAAGACCCATAAGAGCATTTGGGACTGGCATCTGTGACCGTTCCCTCAAACAACTCTGAAGAATTACATGGATTGATTCCACAAATTCTATATTTTATTTGTGCAATAATTACCAAGTGGATTGTTTTTCTGTTTGTTTGTTTTCTTAACTCAAACAGCAGCAAATCAGAAAACTCTATTTTCAATGAATTTATTTACATATATATATATATATATATAATTTTGCTGCAAATAACCAATTAAAAAAATTGATATATCTTTTTTTATGTTAAACCATTCAAGTTTAGAAAGTTATTGTGTGACTTGATTTTCCTTTTTCACTCCAAGTGCTATAAGAGCCGTTGATCTAATCATCAAGAGCAGCAAACATGTTTGTTCTCTATCCCCCAAAAAATCAATAAATATGCAAATGAGCCCTGCACCATAGATTAGACATGATGTCTGGATTGCATACTAATCAGCCCTATGCATATGCATCGATATAGACTAAATGCTTAAATAGCATATGACCTAATAAACCTTTGATAGACCTGCAAAGTGGTAGATAGCAAAGCTTCAGCAATCTCACTGCAGAATATTGAGCGACCTTGTAATGACAAATTATGTTGATCTATTTGGAGTGAGGTCAGAGAAGTGTGTTTGTATTGTACGTTCATCAAAAGGAAATGAGATTGAATGTTCTGTGGCTTACTTCTTCACTGAAAAATGTCATAGTCCCCTCTCACAAAAACGAATTAGAATGACTCTTTGCCGCTACACATCAAAATTAGTAAATATAAGATTTTGTATTGATGAATGCACGGCGGGGTAAGTCTTTAACTGCAAGATTGTTAAATCTATGTTGCTTTTTGTCTTTAATTTTATTTTTGAATCAGTAAACTTAGTATACATAATGTCTCTATTATAACTTTCCATTTGATATATACCATATTCTATTAATGCCATTCACTTTTAAGTTGTGTTTTTAACGCAAGAAATACCTAATATTCTGTAGCATACACAATTTGTCCTTGTGCAATATCTATACAGAATGTAATATTGCTAAAATCTCTTTCCCAATAACATTTCTACACAAGTTTAATTTCATTGTGTGTATGTCACGTATTCATCCGCACATAAAAATGTGGTTAATGGCATTTACCGTCTTGACAGGAAAAGTAGTGCCGAGCAGCATTACCGCCCTTACAGGAAAAGTTGTGCCGAGCAGCAATTACGCACATGGAAACCTGGTAATTGCTTTTGGGGTCAAAGGCCGGTCATGGCCAATCAGATCCACCAGAGGGTTTGTGCTGAGCAGCAATCATGCACATGGAAACCTGGTAATTGCTGTTGGGGTCAAAGGCCGGTGATGGCCAATCAGATCCACAGGAGGGGTATTTAAACCCAATTCTCCTTTTGCTCATTGACCTGTCATGGTTTCATACTGATGGTAATCCGAAAGTACATTCCTGATCTTGATTTTCTGGTATTTGACTTTGTCTTCGTTTTGACTTTCCTGAATTCTGATATCCTTGACTTATGGTTTTTCCTCACCGTTGTGTCTGATTCTGTGTTCCTGACCTCTGCAAGTGTTTTGACTGTTCTTGGATACGTAAAGTCCGGCCATTCTAAGGTCCGGCTATATGTTATCCTTAGTCCTAGTTCTGCATGCTGGATCAACTTGTAATCCTAACAGTGTTACTGTCAGGATTCCTTGTATTGTTCATAGTTTTCTGATCTCTTCAGTCTAGTGCAGTACCTCACAGTTCCACTACCTTGCTGTGGTGCTATTGCTGGCTGCTGCTACCAGACTGGCCCTACCTTATGTTCTGCCTATTTAATCTAGGCTTATCCCTCTTTCCATACCAGTTCATTGTATTTGTTCTAGGGTTTTAAAAGAGTGTTTTTTTTTTGTTTTGGTTTTTAAATCAACACTTGTTTTCACAAAAATAACATGTACTTTCACTTACATATAAGTATTGACAAGTTATAACTAGAGTTGAGCGAACCCGGACTGTAAAGTTCGGGTTAGTAACGAACATTACGTTTTTTGGACCCCGGACCCGAACACTGACATATCAGTGTTTGTTTCGGGTTGGAGTTCGGTGTTCGGCGATTTAATGGCGTGTTTTGAAAGGCTGCAGGGCAGCCAATCAACAAGCGTTTGACTCGTGTGCCCTTAGAAGCCATCACAGCCATGCCTACTAATGGCATGGCTGTGATTGGCCAGTGCAGCATGTGACCCAGGCTCTATATATAAGCTGGAGTCGTGTAGCGCCGCACACACATGAGCTCTTTTTAGTGTAGGGAGAGGATGCTGCAGCTGTGAGGGACAGATTAGGAAAGAATGCTGGTGTTGAATCTGCAAACTACTGCAATTATTCAAACTACAGCGATTATTTTTGTGCGTGCTATAATACTACATTTTTGTACCCTGCCTTGAGCCCAGTGTCACAGAGTGCAGTGCACTTGCAACTGCATGTGTGCCAGGCACATTACTCTAATCCTGTTCTGGTAGCTCAGTGGGTAACATCTTAAATGCAGCGATTTTTTGGTGCTAAATAGTACATTTGCGTACTGCATTTCTTGCAGTAAAATAAAACCCTGAAATACTACTGTTACATTGTTGGTTTCCAAAATCAAAATTTTTGGTGCTAAATAGTACATTTGGGGCCTGGGGTGCACTTCATATCTGAGAGTCAAATAGAACCATCAAATACTGTGGCTACAGCGCATTTTTAAACATTCGAATTCTTTAGGTGCTAAAAAGTCAATTTGGTTCCTGCAGTTCATATCTGAGAGTCAAAAAGAACTGTCAAATAGTACTGTAACATAGCAGTTTTAAACATTCTAATTTCTTTGCTGCTAAACAGTACATTTGCGGCCTGCAGTGCACTTCATATCTGAGAGTCAAATAGAACCGTCAAATACTGTGCTTACATTGCAGTTTTAAACATTCAAATTCTTTAAGTGCTAAAAAGTCAATTTGGTGCCTGCACTTCATATCTGAGAGTTAAATAGAACCATCAATTACTGTGCTTACAGCGCATTTTTAAACATTCGAATTCTTTAGGTGCTAAAAAGTCAATGTGGTGCCTGCACTTCATATCTGAGAGTCAAATAGAACCGTCAAATACTACGGTGACATTGCAGTTTTAAACATTCAAATTTCTTTGCTGCTAAATAGTACATTTGCGGCCTGCGGTGGACTTCATAACTGAGAGTCAAATCAAACCATCAAATACTGTGCTTACAGCGCATTTTTAAACATTCAAATTCTTTAGATGCTAAATAGTCAATTTGGTGTCTGCACTTCATATCTGGTGTATGTGTGCAACACTGGCTAGTTACCGCTTCTCAAGAAAGTCTAAAGTGAAAAATAAGTGTTATTTTGATCGCTTCATTTACAGAAGCATTAATATACATTTCTACATTGTGTAAAGACACAACTACAAAGTTAAAAACCAAACACCAAAACAACATGGAATGAAGATCATGCGAGTAACGTGTGCAGTTTGGAGGAAGAGGCGCTGGTCGCACAGAGGCACCAGCACAGCATAAGAGGGAGCAGAGTGCAAAAGCGCAGCAGCCGTCCCCTAGCGCTCGTCGGCATGCATTATCTTTAGAGTTCCAAGTAACAGATGGAGCAATAAAAGGAACCATAACAGATTTAATGAGCCATTCGCAGTTTCTCAGTCTGGTGACTGGGGCCCAGACACTGTCGGGGCGGCGGTCGGACGACCAGGACCCAGTATGCCTGATGTTGAAGTTAGGAGTCACAGTGTGGAATGGATTAGCAGGGTCTGGTGCAGGATAACCGCACGCCCCCTGGTATTGAGCACCAGCGTTTGTGCGGCCACATACCAGGACCCTGATGCAGCTTCAGCGAGCAGCAGCAGGCGATAGTGGCCTCCAATTGATCCAAGTTAAAGGATTTAAAGTGGACTCATTACAATTACAGGGCCTCAAAAGAGTAGTGTATTGTTATTTGTCGTCACTACCTCTCTACGTCGGGAGTGGGTAATTTGCGTGCCTGCTTCCTTCCTTGCCTGTGGTAGCCGTTTCTCAGGCTCCCTCTCTGGAATCGAACCCTGATTCCCTGTTACCCGTGGTCACCATGGTAGGCCCGGAAAATTGCAGCGAAAGTTGATAGGGCAGACATCAGAATGCGTTGTCGCCGTCACGGGGACGTGCGATCGGCACGAGGTTATCACAGACAAGCGCAGCCGCCTGTCCACGGCCAACGTGGACAAGCTCACGTTTATTAAAATGAACCAGGCATGTATCCCACCAGACTTGTCTGTACCTTGTGCAGAATAGACATTTATACCGACCCCACCCAGCCATTGTTATACTCAAGTGCACTTATTCTTTTTTTCTTTTTACTATGTCCCAATATTTTGGGGGCTACCCCAATTTAAAAAAATAAATAAAAAAAAACAGTGTTGGCTACCTCCTCCTCCACTGCCGCCGCTTCCACCTACACCGCCACGGTGTATACCCAGATATATCAGAGCTGCTGCAGAAAGTGCGGGCCATCTGTGCGCGCTTTTGTCGTTCTCACCCTGCTGCTGCTCGCCTGTCTGCGCTGCAGCGTAACTTTGGCCTTCCCGCTCACCACCTCATATGCGACGTGCCCACAAGGTGGAACTCCACCTTGCACATGCTGGAAAGACTGTGTGAGCAGCAGCAGGCGATAGCAGAGTTTCAGCTGCAGCATGCACGGGTCAGTCGCTCTGCAGAACAGCACCATTTCACCACCAATGAGTGGGCCTCCATGCGAGACCTGTGTGCCATATTGCGCTGTTTCGAGGACTCCACCAACATGGCCAGTGCCGCTGACGCCATTCTCAGCCTTACTATCCCAATTCTATGTCTCCTTGAAAAAATGATTCTGGCGATGATGGAAGAGGATGTGGCACAAGAGGAAGAGGTCATTTCCACGGTTATCAGGCCAGTCATTCACAAGTGGCTCGCAGGGTGGGTTCCTGCACCAGCATAGGCCAGGTACACAATCGTCCAGCATCTTCACACTGTCCCATGGAAGCGTTCAGCTGTCCATCTCCCAAACACTAGAGAGAAAGAGAAAGTACCCCCTACCCACCCGCGATCCCTGGCCCTGAATGCCAGCATTTCAAAATTCCTGGCTTTTGAAATGATGTCATTCCGTCTAGTGGAGATGGACAGTTTTAAAAACCTGAGGCGTTATTGGACTGCAAGAAATCCACTGCAGGCCGCAAATGTTTTTTTTTTCTATGTCTCAATATTTTGGGGGCTACCCCAATAAAAAACAACAAACAAAAACAGTGTTGGCTACCTCCTCCACCTCCACCACCATTTCCACCTACATCGCCACAGTCACCACCTCCTCAACCTCCTACTCCACATCCACCTCCTCCTCCTAGAGCAGGGTGCAAAAGTGGAGTGGCCATCCACTAGACAGTACACCTGCTACTGTCCATCGCACCCAGGGACCGAGCACACCAAAGCCAGCTCCAAGGAATTCCCTGGCGTGGCAGTTCTTCGGACACTGTGCTGACGACAAGACACTAGTGGTTTGCACGCTGTGCAATCAGAGCGTGAAGCGAGCCATAAACATGCTAAACCGGAGCACAACCTGCATGACCAGGCATCTACATGCAAAGCACGAGCTGCCTTGGAGTAAGCACCTCAAAAACCAAGAAAGGTCTCAGGCTCCTCCTGCTTCCTCTTCTGCTGCTGTCTCGGCCTCTTTCTCCACCTCTGGAGAGAGAGAGTGGCACCTGCCACCCCGCAAACAGAGGATGTGGTAACAATTCCACCACGTCCGCCACCATCCCCAAGCATCTCCACACTGTCCAATGTAAGCGTTCAGCTGTCCATCTCCCAAACACTGGAGAGAAAGAGGAAGTACCCCCTGACCTTTGAAATGCACCGCAAGCCGCACATGTTTTCTTTTCTTATATGTCCCAATATTTTGGGGGCCAATTAAAAAAAAAACAACAACAACAAAAAATAGTGTTGGCTACTCCTCCTCCTCCACCGCCGCTTCCACCTACACCGCCACGGTCACCACCTCCTCAACCTATGGGTCACTTAGTATAAACTATGTACACAATAGCAGAGGCCTTTTCTCCATGCATCAGGAGTTGAGCTCAGTTTGCACTCCAACCCTCCTGACAGCCATGCTTTAGATTTTGATTTATGTTCTTCCAAAGCTAAAATCAAAGATTCCATCTAGTGCTATTTTATGGCTCAGCTGTATTTTTAATTTGTATGTATTTTATGTTATTCTAAGTGATTTCCCTATCCACATTTGTTTGTAGGGCACTTGTTCTACTCTTACCCCCATTTTACTTCCTTTTGCAGCCCTCTAGCCCTTTCCAGGACTTTTTTAGAGCCATTTTTGACTTAGGTGGGGTTCGGAGTCAAGTTCTAGCCCGAACCCTGACTTTTTTCTGAAGTTCGGACGAACCCGCCGTACCCGAACATCCAGGTGTCCGCTTAACTCTAGTTATAACCAGTTTCTCAGTTTGGCATGTGCAAATTCATATCAGTTGTTATGGCAATAAAACTAAAGAACATAATACAATACAATAATAAAAATCAGGAAAACAAATACAACTAAATAGAACACCATTTTTCAACTTAATCCTACACAGCACAACTAGTATATAGGCAATATACTCCAATGAAGCATACACCGCTTTGAATGTGTATGCATCTCTGTATTTACTGAAACCTTACAGTTGTCTGTGTCTCACCCAACTGAGGATGTAGCCCCAGTAGCAGAGACAGTCAAACAAATATGTTCGCATGTTCTTTAACAGGTCATGAATGAGTTCAAGACTAAGGAATTCATACGCTCTATCTGCTTTATTTAATTAACTTGCAGAAAAGTCAGGGCTAAAATCCATGATTTAACTATTAATGATTTCATTGCTAAGAGAATAATGCTAATTGCTTTATTTTGCCCAAGTAAAAGATTAGTGGGATATAACCCTAGAATCACGCTTTCAGGCAGAAAAGGAAAGACCACTTCCATGCTGTCTTTAACCCCTTAAGGAAGGACCAAACTTCTGGAATAAAAGGGAATCATGACATGTCACACACGTCATGTGTCCTTAAGGGGTTAATGGAATCTACAACAGATTCCCATAATGTTGGACAACTTCCTAGCTATAAACTTTAATGTTGGGAGAGTTTTTGACAGTCTATTCCATGTTTGGATTACATCATGAGTAGACCGAAAAAAGAACTCCCTGAGTAACAGTCAGTTTGCCTGGCCATAGTATATATTCCACTCTTCCAGAAAATACCTGTGTATCTTCCATATCTATCCACTCAAACTAATGTAGGATTCAGGGGAACGGACGGGCCAGTCCATACCATCAATGCCTTCGTCTTGCAGGAACTGTTGACACACTCCAGCCACATGAGGTCTAGCATTGTCTTGCATTAGGAGGAACAAAGGTTCCAACGCAAGCACATACAAAAGTAGAGACATGGGGCACTCCTACCTCATTCCATTGCTAATTAAGAAGTGTTCAAAAAGGAATTCCATGTAAGAAACAAAGCTATTGGAGTGGAGTACAAGAGCATGATGGCTTGAATAAGAGATTCCATGAAACCAAATGCCCTTAATGTTCACCTCATATACCCCAAATGTAGGTGATAGAGTGCCTTCTCCGCATCCAGGGTCAGGAGAAGACATCTGACAGCTCTCAGAGAGGCCAGTTCTGTCAAGCTGATTACTCACCTTGTGGCAGCTGATGCTTGCCCACCTTGAACAAATCCTACCTGATTTTAATGGAGCACATGAGGTAGGAAGGTCGATTGAATATTTGCGTACAACTTATAGTCAATACTTAACAATGAAATAAGTATCATATTTGCACATCATATTGGGGGCTCCCTTGGTTTTAAGAGGGTTACTACATGGACATGTAGCATCTCAGGTGGCATAGTACCTGCGATCATACATTGATTAAACAGGCATATTAAATATGGAATATGGATCATGGAAAAACTACAATATATTGGTTTATTTAATTATCCTCAAGGGTTTTACAGCCTGTTCAACTTCTGCCACATAATCTGAGACACGAGTAGTGCAGCTTGTGTTCCTGTTATATGAAGTAAATTGATATCCTGCAAATATGAGTCAAATTCCATATTTCTGTAAAGAATAAATGAGGAACGGAAATACAAACTGGATACACAATGACATAATTAATAGGACAACCTATGTATCTACCATTGTATCTCACGAACATTTTGGCAGCAGAGACAGCGGAAAACAACTGCTTCTTGTCAGTATGTTTCTTGGTGGCTTCCAGGTTATATCATTCTATGATTTATTGGGCTGGTTATGGAGATTCCTGATATTTACTGCCGACCCATTCCAGCCTAGAACACACTTGCCTAGTTTTCTTAGTATCCAGTCCAGCCATTGTTACAATTTAATAAGGAATTTAAAACATATTGCTGCACGTTTCTCTCTCCATCATTTTTCATAGAGGATCAAAAATAACATAAAATTGCATGAATGTGTTTTTTTCTATAAATAAACACCAATCTCAACATGAAATTGTTGTTTTAATTTCATATCTACTAGAAATTAAAACTGGGTATTACAGCTAATGATTTAAGAATATAGGCACCAGTGAATATGTGATTGGAGTGAAATTTCTGTTTTCTTAAAAGTCTAGCGTTTACAACGAAGTAACCACAAGACAAAATATCCAGCATTCTCAGAAGCTACATAAATATCCCCAAAGATGGGAATTACTAATTTATCTACATTTTAGTGTTTATTTTTCAGTTTAAAACAAGAAATTCCTACAAAAATTCTGATTTTTTTTGTATTTTCTGTCCCCTTTTTGAATTACAAGTACATTGATTGAGATTTAGAAAACTTCTTAGCCCAATACATTTTTCTAGGCTATGTTGACCAAGTCTAAGTGTAAGGAAGAAACTAATTTCAGGACAGAGAATTTAACGGAATGATTAGCAAATAATACGTCTTGAAATATGTAAAACAGAATTTTATATAACTGCGATTATTTTCTTCTCCTTCTGGAAAAACTAATCAGCTGCTGATTTGAGTACAAGAATGATAAGTAATGTATGCCATGCCTCCTCGATGGCCTTTCTGTGAAGTAGTAGAAAAGAAATTGCTACTAATAATTTCAGAAAATCAGACCCAACACATATCTAAGTTTATTTTATCTATTTCCTTTAAAATAAATATGTGATCATCACTAGTTCTGCTGTAAACTACCTGTAATTGTGTCTGTCACAATGAAAATTCCAAAACAAAAAACCCATCGCATAATATACTGATTATAGTTTAATACTTATTTTAACCTATCTGTATTTTTTTTTTTTAATTCTCATTTTTTATTGAGGTAAAAGTAATGTGATATTTTGAGACAGTACGAGGA